AGTTTTTTTTTTCGTTTTAGTTTCAACAAGCGGCGCCAGTGACTGGCAGGCATGCAAGGATTCACACTGAAATAACAGAACAACCTTCGTTTTTCATAAAATTGTAATTTACAATCCTTGAACTTGAAAACAATCCGAAGATTCATTGAAAATATCACTTACTGCGAAGCGCTCGGAGTTTACAGATGTTCAAAGGCTTTTTCTGTTATGGCGTGAGATTGAGGAAAAAATTGATCATTACGTTTCGTCGCGTGTGTTTTTCCTGTGTGAAGCAACAAAAGATGCCGGCGACTGACGAAATAACAAGTTAACACGAAAATCAAACAACACCTAAACAAACAATTTTAGCTACCGATTTTCAGTGAATTTTTAAAGAACAATTTTCTTTTAAGTTTCAAGACAATTTGAAGACTCAACATACATACAACGTACTAAAATGCGAAAGTTACACACCACAAAATTGATAAATAGGCCTGAAGTGAAATTCTATCTTGTTATTGATTATACGTTGCCTAGCACGTGACTTAAATCTACCCAGGCGGAGATCCAAAATGACGGTGGCAGGCTTGGCTTAGTTATATCACTCAAAACTCGTTCCCGTTTGTCTCATTTGATAAAAAGGGAATCGTTAATGTTTTCATTAAGACAGTATTGCCTTGATTTTCTAATATTTACAACGAAAGACAGTAAATTTCACTTTTCACCCACATTTACTTCCAACCTTTTCTTTTGAACCAGAAACAAAAATGATAGACGTTTAAAACACATGACATCATCCACCTTGTCAAATGTAATAGCATGATCATTTCAATTGTAATGCCTTCTTATCCCAACGTTACTTTGTTTCTTTGCTACATTATGCGGGTATCAGCGGCCATCCCGAGGGGTCGACCCCCGGGCGCCCAGGGGCATTTGTCACAGCTGCCGTGACAAATACATGCTAAAGCCCCTCGGGTAGGGCAAAAAGTTGGGACAAATACCCTCACCCCTGGAGCAACCTGGGCAACATATAGTCGGTGTTGCCTGTTCCTCGATGCAAAAGTACGAGTGATCATGGTTTACTGAAGCCACATCAGCACTAAAATCCACACAAGTCTCTATGGAGTCCTCAAATTCGAGCTTTCTGGGGCAAACTTTCTTGGCTTGCGGTTGTTCATCACACTGTCTCTTCCTATCGGCAAGACGCTTCGAATGCGAACTAACCGTATGAAATTGAAATCTCGATGTCGCTTTCCTTAAAATGCAATGAACAGATTCTTGGATCGCCGAGTGTCTTGAATTTTTTATCCGCTCGCTTACAGAAAACCTCCCACTTCTTACGCTCATTGGGCCTTGTAGGAAAGCAAAAATAACTGAGATCAGGTCGTTTCTTACTCCCATTACGGCACAGAGCAACAGCACAATACTTGACCATGGTACACAGGAAAATAAACTGCAAATGACAAATAAAAGACGCCAAGATTTCCCGATTTGTCAAACGCATATAGCGTTCCTTGCAGTATTTGTTTTTATTTAATACCTCGAGGGCTAGAAGAACATCGAGCGAGCGAGCTTGCTTGTCCTGTGGCGAAAACCGCTGAACGATGAGACAGCAGATTACGTGCAAATCCCGTGGGTATGGCCCCGGGGTATTTTGCCAAAAACGCAAAAGCGCTCTAACGCCCCGCGTGCGGGGCATGCCTTTGCTACAAATCCCCTGCTAAGCCCGTGGGTTGCCCGGGGGTCGACCCCTCGGGATGGCCGCTGATACACGCATTAGCGAACACTGGACTACTGCTCGTACTCTAGATATGACAATCAACCACAAAATTCCCTAAACCAGATAACATTAAACATAGTCTAAAAAATAATGTGTCAATTCACGAGTTTGCTCACAGAGCACTTTGATTGGTTTTTGTTTTCGGTTTATCGCATTGAAACTGACAATCTTTGTTTAAGCGGGAATATTTTGGAAACTAAGATGGCGGCGTTAGAAAATGTCTTAGATAAGTTCTTATCGAACAGAAACATACTTACGAGGAGCTTGTCACTGAAATCAAGGCTCGATATCCGAAAGGTTTTATAATCACCAAGGAATAAAGAAAAGAATGCCAGTTTCGGATGAAGCGCTTAAGTGCCGCTCTCGATAGGTGCACTCCTGTCGACTTCCTGTCCGAAAAAAGTTTTCTTTAATTTTTTGCCTATGAAAAGGGCTTAGGACACATGTTTCGAAGATAGTTTAGTTGTTCTCCAATCTCTTTTATTGCGTCGTTACAAGCCAAAAATGATTTTTGGCTAGACCACCCGTGTGGACAGCGATCGCAAGTGTAAATTTTACAGATTTTGTCCAGCGCGCAGCGACTGCTATAATATAGCTCACGGAATTCTATCTCACTACAAGTTACAAGGTGCCTTCATTTAATTCACAGACAAAATATGGAAACTTCAGCTGAAAACTACGCACAGTGTGGAGAAGATCAAAATTAAAAGAATAGAGCACACCGCGAGACATACCGCGTTGCTTAAAAAGACACAAACAAATTAAAATACGTTACAGTGTTCTTTACAAAGCTACATGCCTACACTCTGAAAGAATTCTTATAGTTTCTCCCGAGATTTTGCACACAGAACGCGATGAACTAGACCTCCTTTCTACAAATTTGTTTTCATCATTAATGATTTTACGCTGTTATGGACCACAACGGTTTAGTGCAGATAGACCTGATGTTTCAACGAAAATTATCGAGAGGGCGCCTTCGATCACTTTTGTTAACCTTGTAAGTCACGCAAGCGCGCAAGAGTTACGACCGATCACGTTTACGCAACGATTTAGGACAACTCGGCATCTATTCTCGGCAAAAAATTAAAGAAAACTCTTTTCCGACGGGAAGTCGAGAGAAATGCTCTTGGCGAGAGCGGCACTTAAGCGCTTCATCCGAAACTGGCATTCTTTTCCTTATTCCTTGGTGATTACAAAACATTTTTTAACGCTTCGTAAATTACAGCCCTTTAGATTCGGATATGAAGCCTTGATTTCAGTGACAAGCTCCTCGTAAGTATGTTTCTGTTCGATAAGAAACCGGCGGACAAAGTCTTTTCTAAGACATTTTCTAACGCCGCCATCTTAGTTTCCTACATATTCCCGCTGAAACAAAGATTGTTAGTTTCAATGCCATAAACCGAAAAAAAAAACCAAAAACGAATCGTAATCCGTTTTCAAAATTCCATTAAAATCCGTTTCTTTTTTAGCTAAAAAAAACGGAGAGCACTAAGTGAATTCGAATTCCATTTCCTTTGATCCTTCCCGACGGGGAAAAATGAAAAACGAAAATAAAGTCCAGTTTGGTCTTTTTACTGCAAAGAAAAACGAAAAACGGAAATAAAATTTGAGTTTCATTTTTCTATGCAATTGAAAATCGGTTGGCACTAAGGTACACGGATTAGCAATGATTACTTTATACTCACTGAAGACGAACGCAAATGCGTGGCTTATTAATATGGTTGCCTCTGATACCCTTCTGCGTACCACAACGTGTGTTGAAATGAATCCGATACAGGTCTCCTAGGTGTGAACATTTCGGCTTCTCGATTTATTAAACCATACGATTGATGTGTGGACTGTATGTTGAAGAGCTCTCGAGAACAAGCACAATGATAGAGTGATGATTACTTTATACCAACTGAGGACGAACGCAAATGCGCGGATTAACAATATAGCTTCCTCTGATACCCTTCTGCGTGGTCACAAGGTGTGTTGAAATGAATCCGATACGGGTCCCCTAGGTGTGAACATTTCGGCTTCCGGATTTATGAAACCATACGAACATTTTATTTCTTTCCACGTGAGTTTCTGGGCTCATCGAAATTAATTTGACTTTTACCAAGTGGGAAGGGGTAGCCAGCGAGACTACTTCCGTTCACGGTCCACAATGCAACTTCCGTCCACGGAATACAACTTTCGTCAACATCTGCTTCACTACGATACCTCATTCATTACTTTCAGCATGAATGAGCTAAAAATGTTGCTACTCGTGGATAATACATATCTATGTTATTTCTTTAATAACAAAACTCTAAAAACAATAGCGTGTTACACTACTTCTTTTCTTCTACGGTAAATACCTCAGGAGGATAAACATCACCTTAAATGAAGAAAATGTAACAAAGGTAGCTATTGTAACTTGAATGTAATCTAATCCAAATGCAACTAAGGACAATTAAAAGAAAGCTCCTCAAGAGTTTTGCTATGCATTCACAAAAAGGAAAAGTTACAAAAAGTTACCTTAAAGAAAAAGTACAAAAGGGAAAGTACAATCCCTTCAATTATTCCTCCAGAAGTCGGTTTTGCGGTTTTGTTCACATTTGTTCACATTTGTTACCATTGTTACACAAATCTTAATTGGTCAGAGTCTTGTTGACTCTAATTGTCCCCGCAATAGACGTAGCATCAGGATCACTCATACAATTGCCATACAAATTCAAATTGGTTAGCGTCTTGTTGACTTTGATTACCTCAGCAATCGATGTAGCACCCGCATCACCAATACCATTTTAAGTCAAACCCAAATTGTTTAGCGTCTTGTTCACTTTATGCAAATGCAGCGGAGGTTAACTTGTTGGAAATAGGCCTTGAACTTGTACCTGTAAGATAACAAAGGGCTCTGAGAACAACAACAGTGTTTTGATGTAGCTATAACTGTGTCGTGAAATAAATAAATTCTCCTAGAGTACCATTTTTTTATTATTATAATAGATTAAGTATGCACCACCGCAAGAAGATTGCAGGAAAATGCGTTTCTGGGAGACTTATGTTTTAAAATTTCCCGGGGGAACATGCTCCCGGACCCCCCTAGAGGTTCGGGCCTTCGGCCCTCAAATTCAAAGGGTTCCTGCCGACTAAAAAGGACTGCCCTTCTACTTGAAAAGTTAATTAAAACCCTGCTTTCATTGCCAGAGCAATAGATGCAGCACCCGCAAACAATAAAAATAAAAGACAAATCCAAATTGGTTACCGTCTTGTTCACTTTCATTGCCTCAGCAATAAATGTAGCACCCGCAGCACTGATATCATTGAAAGACAAATCCACATTGGTTAGCGTCTTGTTCGCTTTCATTGCCTCAGCAATAGATGTAGCACCCGCAGCACTAATATCATTGAAAGACAAATTCAAATTGGTTAGCGTCTTGTTCACTTTCATTGCCTCAGCAATAGATGTAGCACCCGCAGAACTAATACCATTGCCACGCAAATCCAAATTGGATAGCGTCTTGTTCACTTTCATTGCCTCAGCAATAGATGTAGCACCCGTAGTACTAATATCATTGCAACGCAAATCCAAATTGGTTAGCTTCTTGTTCACTTTCATTGCCTCAGCAATAGATGTAGCACCCGCAGCACTAATATCATTGAAAGACAAATCCAAATTGGTTAGCGTCTTGTTCACTTTCATTGCCTCAGCAATAGATGTAGCACCCGCAGAACTAATACCATTGCCACGCAAATCCAAATTGGTTAGCGTCTTGTTTACTTTCATTGCCTCAGCAATAGATGTAGCACCCGTAGTACTAATATCATTGCCACGCAAATCCAAATTGGTTAGTGTCTTGTTCACTTTCATTGCCTCAGCAATAGATGTAGCACCTGTAGCACTAATATCATTCTCTCGCAAATTCAAATTGGTTAGCGTCTTGTTCACTTTCATTGCCTCAGCAACAGATGTAGCACCCGTAGCACTAATAACATTCTTTCGCAAATCCAAATTGGTAAGCGTCTTGTTCACTTTCATTGCCTCAGCAATAGATGTAGCACCCGAAGCACTAATATAATTCTTTCGCAAGTCCAAATTGGTTAGCGTCTTGTTCACTTTCATTGCCTCAGCAATAGATGTAGCACCCGCAGCACTAATATCATTCTTTCGCAAATCCAAATTGGTTAGCGTCTTGTTGACTTTCATTGCCTTAGCAATAGATGTAGCACCCGCAGCACTAATATCATTCTTAGACAAATCCAAATTGGTTAGCGTCTTGTTCACTTTCATTGCCTCAGCAATAGATGTAGCACCCGCAGCACTAATATCATTGCCACGTAAATCCAAATTGGTAAGCGTCTTGTTCACTTTCATTGCCTCAGCAATAGATGTAGCACCCGTAGCACTAATATCATTCTCTCGCAAATTCAAATTGGTTAGCGTCTTGTTCACTGTCATTGCCTCAGCAATAAATGTAGCACCCGTAGCACTAATATCATTCTTTCGCAAATCCAAATTGGTAAGCGTCTTGTTCACTTTCATTGCCTCAGCAATAAATGTAGCACCCGTAACACTAATATCATTGCCACGCAAATCCAAATTGGTTAGCGTCTTGTTCACTTTCATTGCCTCAGCAATAGATGTAGCACCCGCAGAACTAATACCATTGAAAGACAAATCCAAATTGGTCAGATTCAAACCAGTTCCAAACGACTTCACTAATTGTGAGTGAAAATCACTTTTTTCCCTTTTACACTCGTTGATGGCCTCCAATACAATTTTTGTACCACGGCCTTTATTTTTATTGACTTCATTCGTTAAACTCCTTACAAGAGCCACAACTTCTTCATCGCATTTCATGGCTAAAATTCCACACGAAAACAAAAGTATTTGTTTAAGTTCAACGAAATACCTTGGATCGGAAACTAGTTCTTCAGGTTTCATTTCCTTGCTTTGAATCTGAGAACAAATGAAGAATGCTGCAAAGAATTCTTGAAAACTTTTATGTAAGAAAGCATAATGAAGTTTTTTACTCAATTTGCTGCCACCAGGCTGCACCGAGAGAAATCCAAATGCGGTCAAGTCTTTTGCATGGTTCCCCAACTCACTTTCATTAAAATCCAATTTGTCGCCAAGTAAACCATTTAATGCTACCAACCCGAGGCGATTCAATTGCGGTTTGTAAAAATTTGTCAGGTCTTCGCTCGTTTCTGATAGTCCCTTCCTTTTTCTATATCTTCTCAAAACACATTCAACCATATCCAAGTACAGTTGAGCTCTGCTTTCGGGGAGTGTGCCCTCAAACTCTTCGCATAAAAGGCAAAGAAGTGCTGTGTTTAGAGGATTGGCTGCCATTTCTCTCAGGTTTCTATCTTGCGACATCCGTTTTGAGAGCTTGATGGCTAAATCCGGCCTTTCTTTGAAGTACTTGCTGATAAATCCTCTCACATGGTCTTCAGTAAATCCTTCGATCTGAAGCAGCGTGTCACAGTATTTTCTCACCTCTTTTCCAGCTTCGTGTCTTGCTGTGACAACTATGTGGCATCTGGGGAGTACTCTTCCTTCGATTAATTCGGAATAAATCGACAATTTACTGGATGGTAACTCATCCAATCCATCCAATATCAATAAAATGCTGGACTGATTTTCACGAATAAACTGAAAGAATTGTTGTTTGACTTCTTCATCGATGTCTCGGGGCAGCAGCTGATCATCAATGGCTTCCCAAACGTCAGAGTGGATATCTCGACATTTCAGTAACAATACCACTTTAAATGCTGTTGAGCCGCAGCCCTGAGGCTCCCTCTGTTTTGTGGCCCAGTCGTAAGCGTACTTTTCACAATAGGTGGTTTTTCCCATACCAGGTTCTCCTTCAATCAACACTGTTCTCGGCGCTGAACACTCTTCATACGGGTCTAATATCGATGACATGTCAACAAATACGTCAGTGATTTCTCCTCTCGTTTTCTTTCTTCTGACCACTTTGAGCCTTGTAAAAATATTGCCAAGAAAAAACTGAAACTCTTCACACCATGGAAATGGTGAGAGCCACCCCTCGCGAGTCTTGTACAGCTGGCGAATTCCATTGATAAGCTCAGTTGGATCAAAAATACCTAGCAGTAGCAAAATAAGTAAGAAATCTAATGAATGCAACGTTGAAAATTGTGGTACCTCTCTGGTATGCGGCACCGAATTTAAATATGCGAATGAATAAGATACCGTTGCCAAAGAAATTACTTGGACGATGCAAAAAGGTTTTAGTGTATGATTCATGCCTACTGATTAATAGCCATAAAGATTGTGAATTCAGTTGAACCTACTCTGTTTGTTCGGCTTTAGCGGTGTCTAACAGTGAAACTCTGTCGCAAGGCTTTTTCGGGATATAGCGAGACTACGAACCAACAAATGAAAACCAAACAACGCCTTTCTGCCTTCTTTGTCACGCGGTTCATCAAAATGGTTCAGAAAACTAGAGGCTCGCGTGCTATGAAGTGGGAGGTTTTGCCAACAGTCTTTTCCTCAGGAAATGTAAAATAACCACATACATCTTATTCTAGGTAATTTAGTGTTAACAACTGGGTTGAAGGGCTAACGCTCGAAACATCAGCTTTTTTACCCTTTACGGTGGCTAATTTACGTTTTCAACCCAGTTGTTAACACTAAATTACCTGCTATACTCTCCCACTGACGCAGCACCACAGTTTCTTTAGAAACTTACCCCTTTATACATCTTATTCTAACCTATTTTACTCGAGACGATTCTCATTCAACTATTTTCCTATGTAGAATTGAATACTCCACAATATGAGCGCAGGAAGGGTTTAGTTATTTTATTTAGAAATATGCGGATCTCATTTATGGCACTGAATTTAAATAAGTGTACGAGTACGACACTTTAGGCAAAGAACTTAAATGGACAATGAAAAAAGCTATCAATGTATGATTCATGTCAATTGAATGACCAAAGGCCATTTAGCTGATAAATGCCGTCAAACCTACTCTGTTAATTTCTAACATGGAGCCGAACCTAATGCCAATATTTTTGTTAAAACTGTACTTTAGTTTTATATCGTTCTCCATTCTAATAAAAATATAATGTTTCCGGGCTAATTACAGGTGAAAGTTTAAATAATTGAAGGGAAATAAAGCGCACCACAGAGACTATTCCAGAGATTGCTTAAATTGAAAAACTGAATCTCCTTAAGATAGAATGATCGCCCTCTTACATACAGAACATGTTCACTACGAATAAATTTGCCGTTAAGCAACTGACCTTCATTCTTGCTTTCTCCCAAAGTACACAGCTTTTCCTTAACTTCTTTAAGTTCGCTGTCCATCTTTGCCATTTCGCTTCTCATTTTCTCAAGAGACCCTTTCGTGGAATAACATTGGAAATTTTAGTCCGAGTGAGAGTCACTTTATTCATTAAGAGTTAACTAGACCCTTTTCCCTTCCTCTGTGTTTTTTTTTTCATTCTATACAACATTCTAAAAAAACCTTTTGGCCCAGCTTCAGCGGTTTCTAATAGTGAAACTCAGGAGATAAATATTGATATCATAGGAGACGAAAGTCTGAGAAAGATTTTTGTTGGAGAAAGCGACATTGTAAGAACTAATTAATAAAAACCAAAGAACGCCTTTCCGCCCTCTCATTTCTCCTTATGTCCTCAACAAAAGTAAAACTAGTATAAGAAAATAATCTTCTAGGCTAAATATGTATGAGTGCTGTAAGAAAACCATCCAACACCGAGAGGTAGCCTCACATCCATACCATCCCATTCATCCCACACATTACCAAGTACCTTCATTTGTAGCCAGAGCAGGTTAAAAGCCAAGGTATGCTCTTACAACAATACATTACCTAAAAAAAATGTTAAATTGCCTGACATCAAGCGAATAATGTGGTCATCTCAAAAGATGTGTTAACAGAATCCCTGTTGATAGTTCAGTTTATGTGTGAGTAGCTCTTTCTAGTAACCAACCTTCATCTGTGCTTTTTTCCACTGTGGTCGTCAGGCTACTAAGCGTCTCTAAAATCTCCTTCATTTTAATCTCTATCTTCTCAGTTGTGTCTCTGAGGTCGTGCCTCATCTTTTCTCGCGAATCTGGAAATGTAAGAAAGATAGGCGCAATTTCATAAGCACGTTTACACCACAGATTTATGTTTAGGCGCAGACAAAACAATGAAACTTATATCAATATCTAGTCGATTCCGAATAGATCAAACTCAATAAGACGCTTAGAAATTACAAAAATGCACTCCAGCAGTTATACACGAGCACCCACGAACAGAAAAATACTGCCGATGAAAACAGTGTGAACATTTGGGTTAATTCTTCATTTGTCACACATAACGCTAGAATAACGTTCCAAGGATGTGACTGGTTCCGTCCAAAATGAAAAAATCATGAGTTACCCAACACCGCGGTGATTCAAAGCTGGAGAAATCTAGAGACCCGCCTGCGATGAAGTGGGAGGCTTTGCCGACAGTCTTTTCCTCAGGAAATGTAAAATAACCACATACATCTTATTCTAGCCTATTTTACTCAAGACGATCCACATTAAACTATTTTCCCATGTAGAATTGAATACTCCACAATACGCCAGGAGGAAGGATTTGGTTGTTTCATTCAGAAATATGCGGGTCACATCTAACGCTACTGGGAAGTTAGGTTCATTATAAGAAAGGTAATACTAAAACAAGACGATAAACTATCCCGACTACGATGATAAATATGTATGCGTGCTGTCAAACACCATCAAATCCGAGAGGTAGCCAGGGGCAAAATCTCAGATTCCGTGGCATCCCACACATTACATGGAATCTTCATATAAAGCCAGTGCCAGTAGTGACTAGGGTGTGCTCTTAGACTAGTAAAGTATGCTGTGTTGGCCGACATCCAGCGATTACCGTCGCCATGCATATGAGCTGCGTTATGTACCCAAGAAAACAGTGTCGCTCTAAATAATTTCTTTGCTGTGAGTAGCTCTCTCTACCAACTAACCTTGTGCGCTTTTTTCAGCCGAGGCCGTCAGACTACTCAGCTTCTCTTTCACCTCTTTCACTTCGATCTCTATCTTGTCAATTGTGTCTCTCGTGTTATCCAGGGAATCTGAAAATGTTAAAAGGTATGCGCATTTTCATAAGCAAATTTATATCACAGCTTCACGTTAGGTGCAGATAAAACAATGATACGTATATCAATATCTAGTCAATTCCGAATAGATCAAACTCAATAAGACGCTTAGAAATCACAAAAATGCACTCCAGCAGTTGTACACGAGTACCCACGAACAGACAAAAATACTGCAAATGAAAACATAGTATGAATATTTGGGTTAATTCTTTATTTTACACACATAACGCAAATATACCTTCCAAATATGAGAATAGTTCCGACCATGATGAAAACATCATAAGATGACCTACACTACCGTGTTAACTGGAAATATATATTTTTGTAGCCTTTTGATTCATCCACATTGGCAATGGATAATGCTTTTCTTACCTTCAATTTCTTCAAGCTTGTCTTTGATGCTGTCGTCGTCTTTCTTCCATTGTTTCATCAGTTCACGATAATGCTCCTCCATATCTGGATCCATGCAGTCGTGCTCAAGATTGTCGATTTCAGTTCTAAAATGAGCTCCTCCCAATCTCACCAAAGCTTCTCGTATTTTCTGCCAATCAGCACTGAAACTACTGTCATCTACAGAGGCTTGAGAAGCATGGCCGTATACAGTGTTCCTGTAATACTTAACTCTGGCGATGTCATCTTCGATGCGTATGTCTGTAGCTGGGGGAAGCTCATCCCATCCCTTACTAGGAGTGCGCAAACTACAGACATTTCTAAGCAGCACTGTTAGGAGTGTGATGTCAAAGTCTTTAGAAGACACGGCTTTGTGAGTAGGGTACAACTTTCCCCATTGCTTGGGATTCAGCACTTTCTTCTTCCCTTTGTACAGTGACTGCAATTTGGCGTAATGCACTGAGGTACTTCCCAAAACTGTATGTAGCGTCGCTGGTGGATGTATTTTGTCAAAAGTGAACCGGAGCACCTGACATCCAATATCCACCAGGAGGCGGCATAGCCTTGCATAGTTGGTTGTCTCTTTCGTGGACGCAAATGGCGATGGAGCCGTACCCATGAAGCTGAATTTATTAGGATGACCTGTCAAACATGGAATAGACATTAATTTATGGGAATTAAGACCATTTGGAAAAAAAACCGATAGCTAATTGAGACCAGAAATGGTTTAAAATCGTGATATCATTTGTTAAATCCTTAGGAGCACGTTACACTAACGAAAAAACTATTTTGTCGACTTGATAAGAGGTTTAATATGAGGTATTTGATCTCAACACAGTTTTTTGGATTAAGAAAGATTTTTTTTTAGTTTGCAAAGTAACAACCAGAGACATAAAGAGCAGAAATGAAACGCGATTTAAAGGTTAAGGGGAAATAAGTTTTTATTTCCCCTCAAGGGCCTTAAATCCGGTCAGTTCTGGCTGGTTGACGTTTGATTCTTAATCATCATCATCATCATCATCATTTTATTTGGTAATGCGGGTTACAAATTGGCAGCCAGGAAGGCTGATGTGGACCTACAAATCACTAAAAAAATTAATGATATATACTATACTGCTAAAATAAAAAACCAATATAAAAAGAGAAACCTAATCCTAAAATTTAGGAGATAACTAATAAAATATCCTATTTCGCCTAAGAAGTATCTAATAATAAAAGTAATCACAGTTCCACCAGCATTAATACAAAAGCTGCACCTGTTTTTACTACTTCATGAAGCATCACAAAGATCTAACCATTTCCAGCGTCACCATTATACGTAAACCTTAAAACCTCTTTAACTCCAAAACGATCCACAAGCACAAGTATATAAACTACAGTGAAACATCAAAGCAAGACTGCACAATCTCCATTTACCATCCTGCAAAGATCATTGCTACAACTTGGTCACTTGAAGCATAATTACAAAAGCATCATCCATCACCATCCCAACAAGGACAAAAACTACATAATCACAAGCAAACTACACTGTGTTAGGAAAATTTTCATCAATATGGGAATCAGTCTGTTACCAGGTCAGTTAATAGACCAACTCCGTGACTAGACCAGGAAATACCAACACAACAAATACGGGAATTATATTACTTCAGGTCACCGTGTTTACAACAATCACTAAATAGCAGCCTACAGCAAGAAGGCACTATCTATAAAGACTGGGGTATTAATCATCCCTTTCAGTGCAAAACTAAATGTAATTCCTCACATGTATATCACCCAACATAACACCAGGTCTCCCCCTCAGCACCCACATTCCTGGATGGAGGAGCAGCTTAAAAGGAATTTGTAGATTTCCTACCCAGTCGCTATTTCATTATCACACCTAGGGACATTAACAGCATTTTTAAAACTCCGTCAATTTATGGTTTCTCTACTTATTGATGATTAGACCAGTACAACCCTAGAAAACAGATTGCACAGTCACTGATATTAAATGCACCTTTTTAAGCCATGTACTAATTCTACCAGACGAAGGTAACTCTAATTGTCGCCAATACAATACAGGGTCATTGGAGCTCATGTACCAGTACAAAACGTGGTTTCTGAGTTCATCGAACAGTGAAACAATAACGTCTAAGTCAACAGACTTAAAAGTCTCTGTGATAATCACCTTCATAAAAGAATGTGTCCACTGGCAAAAATGTGTAAGAGTACAGAGTATGATGATGACTATTCAATGACTCTTAATAGGCCAGTTGATACTATTTTGGGAAGTTATGTACGAACTGTATGAATTGGCAACTTTCTCCATAGTATTATCAGTGCAATGGCCTTTTAAAGGTTGAAGTATTGCTTGTTTTAAGCTACATTTCTGAAACATTGCATGTTATATTTTAATTTGTTTTTTCAGATACTATAAAAGAAGGTACTGACTCTAAATATGATAAGTCTTTCAGTAAACTCAGTGTTCTCCCTTATTTTAAGCCTGACAGGTAAAATACATTTTCAAACCAGTTAAGCAATCCTTTTACATGTTGAATTTCAAGAACTCCTTGCAATTTTAAACGGTAATAAGAGGTACTACAGGCCGTAAATGTTACCAGTTACTGCTTGAAAAGGAGAACACTGTAAACTTAATTCAAACTTGGACTTAAACTTTTTGAAATTTATACTCCTCATGTCAGCGTGGTGTTGCTACTGCTAATGTACAGTTGTTGTTATGGTTATTGTTAATGGTGTTTAGTCAAAAGCATTAAAAACTTGGATGTGATAAATTTGAACAAAATTGGTATGCATGTAACATTTATTTCTCCCAAAAGAATTACCATAATTAAAGTCATGCAGTCACAATGTCCATAATATAATGTCATAGTGTGATGTCCGTAATGTAATGTCTGTAGCATAATATCCATAACATAAAGTGGGCTTTATTTTTTCTTGTGTTTCACTCAAGTTTATCCCCTAGAAAGTAAAAAAGGAGTCAAGAAGACAAAAAAAACTGGTTTTAATTTCAGAGAAAACAAAAAAAGAGGACTGTTTTTGTTAAGCACATTAAGTAATGTCCATAGCAAAATAATGTTACTTGCTCTCATTTACAAAGTACACCCATTTTGGAAAAAATCTCATCTGTAAGTTCTTCTTTGTGTTGAGTTCTGTTAGTTTTGTTCCTCTGGTGAGATTAAGGAATACATGTGTCTTACTTAAATCACTTCAAACCTTTCAGCATACACTTTTCATTAGACAAAAATAAACAGCTCTCTTGGCCATTTCCCGCAAAGTCAACTTTCAGATTACTATTTTTTAAACAATTTAGGGTCTCCTTATTCATAAAATCCATGAGTGGGCTAGATATGAAATATTTTAAATTTCACTATTTAGGCAGTTGTAAAATAGAATAGGTCATGATGGTTTTGGTAGTTTTACCATCCCGTAAAGATTGCTCTTGCAATCCGATGAAATTTGCTTTTACACAAATGTTTTGGCTGTCATTACGTCCATATGTAATGGCAATTTATGAATATCTTGAACATGTTGCATTGTTTACCTGATCTTCGTGATTGGTCCTGTATTGGGTTATATTTTTTGCTTCGACATGCATGCTAGAAACATCATCAAAAGTAACCTCTCCACATGAAAAAAATAATTTATGAAAAATCACCACGGTAGCCGCTAATTGCCAAAGGGTACTTTGAAGGACTTAAGTTAGGTTTAACTTGGCAAAACGTATGATAGACGGTCTGCATGAATGTACTAATTTCCCAAGACATCCAAGCATGGGGTGATTGCTAATCCATGTACTTTGTCAAGGATGGAACCAGATCTTTGCACAAGATCTTCCATATTCCTGTTATGTTTGCTTAGAGGCGGGGCTTCAGACTTTGTTTTTCACAAATACACTAACTTACACGGTCAACTTTGTCACATAAAAAAGGTTGTTGTTCGTTCAAGTCGCTTATTGGTGGAGTTTGTTGTTACAACACTAGAGATCGAAAGCGTAAAACGGAAATTGTTCCTTTACTTTCATGCACCAAGAATATCGCAAGTCATAAGTCGGCTTTCAAATTTACCGGTCCTCAAGATGAGATCGAATTTATTTTGTGCCGAGCGCACATATGTCGGCCCCTCTCTAGTTTAAGGTTTTAAACGGTAGTTGGGTCTGTTAATAATGGTTAATAGTACCACTCCCTTTTGCAAGCCCCGCCCATTGGCCACGGAACATAGCACCCCTGCCTCACATAAGCCACACATCCCCAGCACTGCGTTTTGTGGCACGGTGCAGTAAAAATGTACAAAAGGTTTTCTTGCATGCTATTAGGGCATTCCTTGAAATTTTAGTGGAAAGAAAAACACCCCTAATAAGTACGAAAGGCACAGAGCGCCAAAAAAACAAGAATAATAAATGTTTGTCACCACACAAAGATGACACTATTACAAAAATGTTCACAGAATAAAATATTTTGTAGGTTCCAAGAGTTCAATTCTGATAGTGCTTAATTATAAGAAGTTTTGCCCTTCACCTACCCCCTAAAGTTCCTTTGTCACCGGTATTGCGTGACAACCCAAATACTCAAAGGGCGTACATGTTTGTAGTCAACTCAGTTTAGCATTGAATTAGACTGTCAGATGTGATCTTTTAGTGCATTGTAAACTATAAAATAAAATAAGATGCCACAGTGAAGAAAGATATCGCACGTTTGACAACAAGATGGTGTTCGACAGGGTTGGTGGTTTCATCGGACGTTATCATTTATACAGACCTAAATACGACGAACGACAAGGGAATCACATTAAAATGGTCTCTGGATCGGTCTTCTGCGGCAAATGAGGTTAGAGTATTTGGAAATATGTTTCTATGTGAATTTTTCGGCCTCATTTTGGTTGAAACATATTAAAATATGTGTGTGACTCGCGACTGGAATGTTGACCGCAAAAGGTCAAATAACTGCATTTTAACGGACTTTGAAAAGCTTTTGTAATGCTCTCAATCATTTGCCCAAACAAATTTTTGCAGTAATATTGAGAACATCTTTTCGTAATTCTATCGCCAAAAGCTTAATCCATTTGAAGATTTAGCACATGCTGAAAATTACCTTTACTCACAAAGTACTTTTACTGAAGAGAAATGTATGCTTTCGAATTTAAATTCTTTTCCACGCAAAGAGGAAGCCAGTGTTTACAAAAATCGTTTTGTGAGGTCTTGTGAGGTTGGAAAAGAAGATTTGAGTGTTAAAAGGACAAGATAGTGATTCGATTTTGAACGCGAAGCCCTCAAACGTGTGAAATAATTTGCTGCTGAAAATAACGATTTTAACGGAATTCTGTTATTTGTATTTTTCTCTGAAATTAAAAGATATTTTGCCAAAAAAAAGTATCCAGCGATTTTAATTATAGTCTAGCCTATCTAATATTAAAATAAGAAAGAAATCGAATTTTCCACCCTTGCGGCGATATGTTTAATTTTTACAGACAAGCGCTCTTAAGAATGTTTTGTGTCTTATTCTCTGATTTTTACGGACAAGCGCTCTTAAATATATGTATCATATTTAAAGAGGGAAAAAATGGAGGGAAAGTGCTACAAGAAAAGAGAAAGAAAAAGAACATCTATACTTACCCTGTTTAGAC